TTCTTTATATTTAAAAATTCTTTAACAGTTAATTGAGTCACAAAGAATTCCTCAGTGGAAATGCTGTCTTAACATTTTTCTATTTTCTCTAGTGACAACAAATTAGAATTATCATTATTATTTTTTTTTTTTTTTTTTTTTTTTCAACAAGTCGGTCGTCTCCCACCGAGGCAGGGTGACCTAAGAAGAAAGAAAATCCCCAAAAAGAAAATACTTTCATCCATTAATTCAACCTTTCACCTAAATCATCAACATAATCAATCAGTTATTGCAGGGTGCTCAAGATTAAAAGTTTAGAAGTATATACGTACTAATAATGTATAAACATATCCCTACCAAATGCTAATATCCCGACCCCTCCTTTAAAGTGCAGGCATTGTACTTCGATTTCCAGGACTCAAAGTTCCGGCTATATGGAAATAACCGGTTTCCCTGAATCCCTTCACTAAATATTACCCTGCTCACACTCCAACAGATCGTCAGGTCCCAAGTATCATTCGTCTCCATTCACTCCTATCTAACACGCCCACGCACGCCCGCTGGAAGTCCAATCAAAACTAAGAAGTAAACTCAACAAATCAGAAATGCACTGTCCATGTATCAGGACTATCTTGAAGAAGTGTATCAGGACTATCTTGAAGAAGTGTATCAGGACTATCTTGAAGAAGTGTATCAAGACTACCTTGAGGAAGTGTATCAAGACTACCTTGAGGAAGTGTATCAAGACTACCTTGAGGAAGTGTATCAAGACTACCTTGAGGAAGTGTATCAAGACTACTTGAGGAAGTGTATCAGACTTACCTTGAGGAAGTGTATCAAGACTACCTTGAGGAAGTGTATCAAGACTACCTTGAGGAAGTGTATCAAGACTACCTTGAGGAAGTGTATCAGGACTACCTTGAGGAAGTGTATCAAGACTACCTTGAGGAAGTGTATCAAGACTACCTTGAGGAAGTGTATCAAGACTACCTTGAGGAAGTGTATCAAGACTACCTTGAGGAAGTGTATCAGGACTACCTTGAGGAAGTGTATCAAGACTACCTTGAGGAAGTGTATCAAGACTACCTTGAGGAAGTGTATCAAGACTACCTTGAGGAAGTGTATCAAGACTACCTTGAGGAAGTGTATCAAGGACTACCTTGAGGAAGTGTATCAGACTACCTTGAGGAAGTGTATCAAGACTACCTTGAGGAAGTGTATCAAGACTATCTTGAAGAAGTGTATCAGGACTACCTTGAGGAAGTGTATCAAGACTACCTTGAGGAAGTGTATCAGGACTACCTTGAGGAAGTGTATCAAGACTACCTTGAGGAAGTGTATCAAGACTACCTTGAGGAAGTGTATCAAGGACTACCTTGAGGAAGTGTATCAAGACTACCTTGAGGAAGTGTATCAAGACTACCTTGAGGAAGTGTATCAGACTACCTTGAGAAGTGTATCAAGACTACCTTGAGGAAGTGTATCAGGACTACCTTGAGGAAGTGTATCAAGACTACCTTGAGGAAGTGTATCAAGACTATCTTGAAGAAGTGTATCAAGACTACCTTGAGGAAGTGTATCAAGACTACCTTGAGGAAGTGTATCAAGACTACCTTGAGGAAGTGTATCAAGACTATCTTGAAGAAGTGTATCAAGACTACCTTGAGGAAGTGTATCAAGACTACCTTGAAGAAGTGTATCAAGACTACTTGAAGGAAGTGTATCAAGACTACCTTGAGGAAGTGTATCAAGACTACCTTGAGGAAGTGTATCAAGACTACCTTGAGGAAGTGTATCAGGACTACCTTGAGGAAGTGTATCAAGACTACCTTGAGGAAGTCAACTTCTTGAAAACACTGCTAGTTAATTTCGAATAAACATGGTTTGTATGTTGCGTTTACTACCAATTCAAGTTGCTTTTTGCATCTGTGTTACTGACTAACTCCTTGAAACAGTTCAGCAACAGTGATGCATCTTGCACAAATACTGTACAAAAAATATTTTGATTACTTATATAAATAAACCAATAAACAATGCTTTTAGGAATATCACATATATATATTTTAAGAGAAATTTATGGGTACATGCTCAATAATAACCCACAAGGAGACAGACTCTCAGAAGATTAACCCTTACACTGTCCAGATGTAGATCTATGTTCGCTAGCGTAGTGCTCCGAAGGTAGGTCTACATTTTTTTACATGCTTTCTCATGGAGAAAATAAAGGTCGGAGTGCTACATGCGAAAATGTAGAGCTACGTTTGGACAGTTGAAGGGTTAATTGGTCATCTGCTGATGAGGACCCCAGAAGGGGGTCGAAATATACAGATCAATTAATCTTCTGAGTTGCCGTCTCCACAAGGGTTATTACTGAGCATTGAAAAGTGTTCATTACACTTCTTCTTTCAACAAACTGGCCAGTATCCCACCAAGGTGGGGTGGCCCAAAAGGAAAAACGAAAGTTTCTCCTTTTAAATTTAGTAATATATACAGGAGAAGGGGTTACTTACCCCTTGCTCCTGGCATTTTGGTCGCCTTTTATGATATGCATGGTTTACGGAGGAAGAATTCTGTTCCACTCTAGTTATTACGAGTATATATGCGTGTCAATAAACACAAGCTCTCACCTGTTAAAAAATAAATCACAAACATCATTCCTAAACTGCATGTGACTGGGGGTCATGAACACACATACTGAAGACAATAACTGCCTGTTCGAAGCTGATATACAACTATCATTTAAAATCTAGCAGTTAGCAACAGCAAAAACAATTTATTACCAGAAATATTCTTTACTGACCATTAGCAAAAAATTTAAAATTCTATTTTTCTTCTTGGTAAACATTATTGAAGACATTATTTCATGATGTTCAATATTGACCATTTTCATACTGATGAATTTAAAAAAAAAAAAAAGTCAAATATGCAACTTAAAAACAATAATGTCAGTAATGAGTTACATGCAAATAGCCTAACTCAAAACACGCAAGGTTGGTTTACTACAGAAGGACACCTGTTCCACGGGGATACGTTCTAAGGACTTGCCGGGGATACCAAAATTGAGGATAGCAATTTTTACTTTAGATATTACAAAGGTTAATTGATAGATTATGCATAATAAGTGGAGAATTATCACTTTTCACTGATGGGAAGCACTTCATGACTTCTCTTAGGCTTTTAAGAACTGCCACCATCAATTATCCACTGGCAAACTGAGGATACAGGATCCGCAGATACAGGGGTCCCACTGTAGTGACAATAACTTGGTCACATATTAAGGATCTTTTTTAACGAGAAGTGATGTTCAGTTACATCATTTCCACTATTATCATACATCCAAACATTCGTAGAGCCAGGTAACTGCCATCAATATGCTGGTAATAGTAACAACCATCATGGTAATCATCAAAGATAACCTGAAAGGCTACAGTAGTTAGTACTGGGCCAAGTCAGATGTCTAGTATAAGAATCATCTGCAATTGTGAAGTTTCCTGAGTAAAAGGAAGTTCCATGTGATACCAAGGGATAGAAACCTGGCCTTGTACTAACTTCAGTATCCACTCAAATACTAGCCAGGTAGCTGGCCACAGTTACCTGCCTGGTATCACTGACATACTGCACTAGTATGCAAAATCTCTTAGAAATGGTGGTTAGAATTTTATTCACAATGGCACGACAAAACTCCTGGAGAGCGAAATGTTGGCAAAAATAAAATGTCGCATTGGTTACACACATGTCCTACCAACCATAAAATTATATAGACAAAAACTTCATGCACTCAAACACATCCTTCTTCAGTAAGGTGAAAATCATGCTTAATCTGTACTAAAATAATGTAAGTGTTGTCAACATACTGTTGTCAAAATTAAAAATATAAACCATACAATACAATTCTCTTCAATGAGGAAGCAAAGATAAAAATCCAGCAAAATCAAGTGTTAACTTCTGCGCATCTGTTTTCACTTATTTTTAAAAGAGCGTCACATATCTGCAGCATATATACTGTATTCATATATTCTTGCAAATTAAATGAAAACCAAGTTATTATTCAGGAGAAAATCTTGAAATATAGATGAGAGCTTTTAAGTGTGTTAACTTGTGTGTTAAAAGCATGCAGGTGTATGTGTGAACTTGCTATGTATAAATATGAAAGCATGATTGTGTACATACTAATGCAGGGGTGGGGACGGTGCCAATATCTGAAGGGATGATCAAATAGGGATAACTCCCCTTTCTCAGACCAAAAACCACCCCTTCCCATCTGTTTAAATCATCGGGTTTTTCAGTTTAGCATTTTTAAATAATAATAATAAAATAATAATTAATAAAAATAATAATAAAATTAAAAAAAAAAATTAAAAATTAAAAAAAAAAAATAATAATACATATACATTTTTTTTAAATTACCATGGTGGGAAGCAAGATTTTTCACCTTTTTGAGTAAACGAGTACAATAGTGGGTTCTGGGTTAGATTAGCGAGGGATTGACCTCAAAACCTTGATTAATTTTCTCCAAATGTGGTTTAACACCATGAAAAAAACACTTAAGGGAATGATTTGAGGACAAAAATTTTAAACCAACTTTTTAAAAAATTTTTTATTAAATAATGAGGTTTTTAGGAATTTAATGAGAATATCTACTTTTGGACATTTTTTAAAAAAATTTGAAGAGATAAATTTTTTTTTTTTTTTATTTTTGGGTGAAGGTACATACCTTGGAGGAAAAGGGGTTATTGTAACCTTTATATAAATTAGTCATATCCCCCAAAGCGCTAATTTCATTTTTTGGAGTGCCCCTATCAATTCGTTTGGGGTTCAGTTTTTTGGTTTAATTGACACTGTTCCACCAATGGAAAATACTTCAGGGAAAATGGTTAATTACCCAAAAAACCGGGAAGGGCGTATTGGGGTTTCCTCCCAAAAAATAAATCATATCAATAATTCTCTACCTTAGTTAACCTTTCCCGTTCTTGAGGCAAGGTTGACAAAGTTCATGATACTCCATTATTACATTCAATCTAATGCCAATCATTTTTTTTTTTTTGCATTGCATATATATAAAACTACTAAGTAAAGCCTTTAACAAGGACACTTAATTTCTTAATATTCTATTAAAAGAATCCTTTCTTTAAATAAGTTGAGAGTATAATCAAGATGTTTTCAACCAGAAAGCTAAAAAATCAAGGGTTATACTAATTACTTACATTTTTTTAATAAAATTAATTGATTTGTGTTCATAAAATCCATCTCAATTCTGACATAAAATACATTTACAACATATATACAAAAATTTGAAAGCTTATTGAAGAAATACCTAAAAGCAGTGACAATTAGGTAGTGTTTCTGCTTGTGGCATGGTGTGTCGTCTAGAGCAAGGAGAGGCTAGCTACTGCAGACTCCAACCTTTCAATATCTCATCACATCTGTAAATAATGTTGCAAAACTCAAAGTGCACAAAATCATTTATTTTGGAGTTAAGACCTGTGATTACCCTTATCTCAATGCTTTACTGATGACACTTGTTTTATAATTTCTGATGCATGAAGCCAAATTATTATAGTTCATTATGACAACTCAATAGACGCTTGAACTGACGTATGGTACCTCTGACATGCATATTGACATTCACCAATGATGAAAGAAATGCTCTAGGAAAGTGACCTCTAGAAAATTGACAACAATGAACCTAATAGTATTGTCTTGCAGCAGGTATACTGATCTTAACAAGGTAAGGATAATACTACATTATCATCCCCAAACAATAACTTCGAGGCATACAGAGTGCGGCATTCACTGCTCGGTTATATAATGCAGAAGCAATCTATGCAGAAATGAGGGTTATTCAACAGGGAAGACTACTGTACAATGAAATATGCAAGAAAATAAGAGGAGGCAAAAACAATAGAAATTATTAAGGCTAACAGGCTACAGAAAATTTGGAAATACAGGAGGGGCCCCATATATACAGCACCTCTTTTCGGTGTTCCACGTTTTCGTTGACTTCAAATTGAGCCACTGTTCATTTTGTTACCCAGCCAGTGAAAATTGTTGGTGGAACAAAATAAGCAATAGCTCAACTGAAAACCAACAAAAACGTGGAATACCAAAGAGATGCTGTATATGCGGGGTCCTTGTATAGTTACTGTATATAAAGAGTTGTGGAAGGCTGATTAAGTTAAATATCTTTCTTTCTTTCAACACACCGGCCGTATCCCACCGAGGCGGGGTGGCCCAAAAGGAAAAACGAAAGTTTCTCCTTTTACATTTAGTAATATATACAGGAGAAGAGGTTACTAGCCCCTTGCTCCCGGCATTTTAGTCGCCTCTTACAACACGCATGGCTTACGGAGGAAGAATTCTGTTCCACTTCCCCATGGAGATAAGAGGAAATAAACAAGAATAAGAACTAGAAAGAAAATAGAAGAAAACCCAGAGGGGTGTGTATATATGTGCTTGTACATGTATGTGTAGTGTGACCTAAGTGTAAGTAGAAGTAGCAAGACGGACCTGAAATCTTGCATGTTCATGAGACAGAAAAAAGGACACCAGCAATCCTACCATCATGTAAAACAATTACAGGCTTTCGTTTTACACTCACTTGGCAGGACGGTAGTACCTCCCTGGGCGGTTGCTGTCTACCAACCTACTACCTATATAAGTTAAATATACTATATGCAATGTACTGGCAATAAGATTGAACAAAAAAGTATGACAAGCAAAGAATGCATTCACTGTTTTGTCAAACAAGCAAGAGTATGTACAGTATTTATTTTGTCAAACAAGCAAGAGTATGTACAGTATTTATTTTTCCTATACAGCAGCTGAAAAAAAAAATAAATCTAAACATTACAAAATTATGGCAAAGCTTTGATTTAATGGACTAATGGGGAAAAAGAGGGGGTAGATACGTGCAACTGTGGTGGATAGAAACGATGAGGTTCTGCCGTGATCTCAATAATAATGGACGACTCCTTAACACCAGACTTTCTCTCCGAATCAAATCTCCCAGCAGATTTTGTCTCAAATTTGTGATCAGCAGATTATATCTTGTATTTGTGCAAGTCCATAAAATCAAGGCCAGTTAAACTGAGATCCATTAAACTGAGGGTTGACTTATACATGTATTTCAGTGATGCTAAATAAATTAACTATATTAAAACTGATTATAGATTAGATGGTTATGACTGAGCTTAACTGTATTACTGGCTATATAAATTTCAAATTAACCAGTTGCATACAATGTTAATGTGTGAAATATATATAATTTGTCCAATATATATATGTACGAAATTTGTGGAATATTCTTTCTTCTTTCTTTCAACACACCGGCCGTATCCCACCGAGGCGGGGTGGCCCAAAAGGAAAAACGAAAGTTTCTCCTTTTACATTTAGTAATATATACAGGAGAAGAGGTTACTAGCCCCTTGCTCCCGGCATTTTAGTTGCCTCTTACAACACGCATGGCTTACGGAGGAAGAATTCTGTTCCACTTCCCCATGGAGATAAGAGGAAATAAACAAGAATAAGAACTAGAAAGAAAATAGAAGAAAACCCAGAGGGGTGTGTATATATGTGCTTGTACATGTATGTGTAGTGTGACCTAAGTGTAAGTAGAAGTAGCAAGACGGACCTGAAATCTTGCATGTTCATGAGACAGAAAAAAGGACACCAGCAATCCTACCATCATGTAAAACAATTACAGGCTTTCGTTTTACACTCACTTGGCAGGACGGTAGTACCTCCCTGGGCGGTTGCTGTCTACCAACCTACTACCTATATAAGTTAAATATACTATATGCAATGTACTGGCAATAAGATTGAACAAAAAAGTATGACAAGCAAAGAATGCATTCACTGTTTTGTCAAACAAGCAAGAGTATGTACAGTATTTATTTTGTCAAACAAGCAAGAGTATGTACAGTATTTATTTTTCCTATACAGCAGCTGAAAAAAAAAAAAATCTAAACATTACAAAATTATGGCAAAGCTTTGATTTAATGGACTAATGGGGAAAAAGAGGGGGTAGATACGTGCAACTGTGGTGGATAGAAACGATGAGGTTCTGCCGTGATCTCAATAATAATGGACGACTCCTTAACACCAGACTTTCTCTCCGAATCAAATCTCCCAGCAGATTTTGTCTCAAATTTGTGATCAGCAGATTATATCTTGTATTTGTGCAAGTCCATAAAATCAAGGCCAGTTAAACTGAGATCCATTAAACTGAGGGTTGACTTATACATGTATTTCAGTGATGCTAAATAAATTAACTATATTAAAACTGATTATAGATTAGATGGTTATGACTGAGCTTAACTGTATTACTGGCTATATAAATTTCAAATTAACCAGTTGCATACAATGTTAATGTGTGAAATATATATAATTTGTCCAATATATATATGTACGAAATTTGTGGAATATATATACATTTAGTAACGGAGTTTTTGTTTTTAAATCTATCAATCAGTAAGTTTTTTGTTTAAATCTATCTTTAAGAGCAGGGGTGCAACGAGTACATTGAGAGGCAACACAATAAGTGTCTGGGGTCCAAGACTGTTCAACTGCCTCCCAGCCTACATAAGGGGGATTACCAACAGACCTCTGGCTATCTTTAAAAAGGCACTGGACAGGCACCTAAAGTCAGTACCTGACCAACCAGGCTGTGGTTCGTACGTCAGCTTGCATGTGGCTAGTAGTAACAGCCTGGTTGATCAGACCCTGATCCACCATGAGGCCTGATCTCAGACTGAGCCGTGGGGGCGTTGACCCCTGAAACCCTCTCCAGTAAACTCCAGGTAAGAAAGTTTATCTTGCTTAACCACAATGGCAACAAATTACTGTACAACATACAGTATACAGTATTGTTTATCATTTAACCTACCAGTACTACCCTGCAAATACTGTATGAGTGCATTAAAGAAATGCAAGTACAGGAAAGAACGAGTTACCATATTTCACGGCTTATTAGACACATTTTTTCCATAAAATGTCTCCAAAACCCATCCTGCGTCTTATAAACTGAAGGTCAGTGATGGGAGCTATAAGTCTGGGGTGTGGGGTGGGCTGTAACTCTCCCAGTTACGTCCAATGCCAAGCCATTGAAACTTAAACAAATCCAGTGTTTTACATCTTATAAGCCGCAAAATATGGTAATTATATTGATATGATGCAGCTCACCAAATACAAAGAAGAGAGACAGGAATAAAGCAAGAAAAATGGAAGAAAAGCTTCAATGGGTAGAGGGAGGTAACAGAAATACATTGGCATACTAGTGGCCTTTTGAGTTAATTAAATTGATATGATTTAACTCACTAAATACGAGGGAGAGAGGTAGGAATAAAGAGGGCAAGAAAAAATGGAACAAAGGCCTGAATGAAGGGAAGGTCAGAAATGCATTTATACTAGTGGCCTTTTGTACCTAACTCTTGTCTTACATGTAAACAACATTATCTTCGTACAGCATACAGCAATTTGAATATGAAGCAAGGAGTAATTTGTTAATAATTGGAGAGAGAGAGAGAGAGAGAGAGAGAGAGAGAGAGAGAGAGAGAGTGTGTGAGAGAGAGAGAGTGTGTGTGTGAGAGAGAGAGAGTGTGAGAGAGAGAGAGTGTGAGAGAGAGAGAGAGTGTGAGAGAGAGAGAGAGAGTGTGAGAGAGTGTGAGAGTGTGAGAGAGTGTGAGAGAGAGTGTGAGAGAGTGTGAGAGAGAGTGAGAGAGAGAGTGTGAGAGAGAGTGTGAGAGAGAGTGTGAGAGAGAGTGTGAGAGTGTGAGAGAGAGTGTGAGAGTGTGAGAGAGAGTGTGAGAGAGAGTGTGAGAGTGTGAGAGAGAGTGTGAGAGTGTGAGAGAGAGTGTAGAGAGAGTGTGAGAGAGAGTGTGAGAGAGAGTGTGAGAGAGAGTGTGAGGAGAGTGTGAGAGAGAGTGTAGAGAGTGTGAGAGTGTGAGAGAGAGTGTGAGAGAGTGTGAGAGTGTGAGGAGTGTGAGAGAGTGTGAGAGAGTGTAGAGAGAATGTGAGTGTGAGTGTGTGAGAGAGAGTGTGAGTGTGAGTGTGTGAGAGTGTGAGTGTGAGTGTGTGAGTGTGAGAGTGGAGAGTGTGAGTGTGAGTGTGAGAGTGTGAGTGTGAGAGTGAGTGTGAGAGAGAGTGTGGAGAGAGTGTGAGGTGAGTGTGAGAGTGTGAGTGTGAGTGTGAGTGTGAGTGTGAGAGAGGTGTGAGTGTGAGTGTGAGAGTGTGAGTGTGAGTGTGAGAGTGAGTGTGAGAGAGAGTGTGAGTGTGAGTGTGAGAGTGTGAGTGTGAGGGAGTGTGAGTGTGAGTGTGAGAATGTGAGTGTGAGAGTGAGTGTGAGAGAGAGTGTGAGTGTGAGTGTGAGAGTGTGAGAGTGTGAGTGTGAGAGTGTGAGTGTGAGATTGAGTGTGAGAGTGAGTGTGAGAGTGAGAGTAGATGTGAGTGTGAGAGTGTGAGTGTGAGTGTGAGTGTGAGTGTGAGTGTGAGAGTGAGAGTGAGTGTGAGTGTGTGTGAGTGTGAGTGTGGGGGGGGGGAGAAATGTATCAAAGTACCTTAACGGATGCAATGTGAATTACCGAAGAAACTTTTTGTTGTTGTTGAAGCGAACAATTTTTACACATGAGTGTTTCTACGGACTGCCAGCAGCACCAAGCACTCTATGCCATGTAATGTTACTCTTTACTCTGTAAGAACTCAATTAAACACTCACCCGCCTTGCCAAGACACTATTCTACGTCATACCAAACAATGACGAGTGCATCTTGATTAAGAGTTTGACAATTGATATAATAAATTTAAGTCATTAGGAAGGGTCAGCAATTCCTTCATAACACATACTACACATTAAGAATTGTGGGATTATATTTCAGTGTACAGTAATTCATATTTAATTATATTTCAATAATACACATTACATCTTAAATAATGCTATAATCGTCAGGTTTCTGAACCTCATTTAGGTTACTTACATCTACTGGACTATGTAAATTCCTTTCAGAATGTTTTGATCTCATCAGCTCTCTGCGGAAATACTGTACAGTTTTCTCGATGCCTGTATGAAGAGAGACCTGTAAAATAAAAGCAAAAGACTATTAACAATAAACAAGTCTGGAATGACTATCTAAACTGTTGTATCTGGGTGCCTCTGCAAAGACAGTGGTTATGTATGAGTGATGGTGAAAATGTTGAATGATAATGAAAGTTTTTTCTTTCTTTTAGGGTTTTTCTTTCTTTTGGGTCACCCTGCTTAGTGGAAAATGGCCGACACAATAAAAAAAAAATGTAAAAAGTACATAAACTAAATTTTTTTTTTCAACAAACCGGCCATATCCCACCAAGGCAGGGTGGCCCAAAAAGAAAAATGAAAGTTTCTCTTTTTCAATTTTGTAATTTATACAAGAAAAGGGGTTACTAGCCCCTTGCTTCCGGCATTTTAGTCACCTCTTACAACACGCCTGGTTTACGGAGAAAGAATTCTTTTCCATTTCCCTGTGGAGATAAGAGGAAATAAACAAGAACAAGAACTAGAAAGAAAATAGCAGAAAACCCAGAGGGGTGTGTGTATATATATGCTTGTATACATGTATGTGTAGTGTGACCTAAGTGTAAGTAGAAGTAGCAAGACGTACCTATAATCTTGCATATTTATGAGACAGACAAAAGACACCAGCAATCCTACCATCATGTAAAACAATTACAGGCTTTCATTTTACACTCGCTTGGCAGGACCCAGGGAGGAACAGAATTCTTCCCCCGTAAGCCATGCGTGTAGTAAGAGGCGACTAAAATGCCGGGAGCAAGGGGCTAGTAACCCTTTCTCCTGTATAAATTACCAAATTTGAAATGAGCATTTTTTTACTACTAATACATTGGCCATTTCCCACCAAGGCAGGGTGTCCCAAAAATAAACTTTCACCATCATCCGTTCCATCATTGTCTTGCTTGCCAGGGGTGCACTTACACTACAGTTATAAAATTGCAACATTAACATCCCTCCTTCAGAAAGGAGGGGGTGTTAATGTTTTTCTTGTTAAGTCACCCTGCCTAGTGGGATATGGCCAGCTTGTTAAGAAAAAAAATCCTGGAGGGTGTTCTTGGGGGTCAACCCCCCCCAAGCACCCTTCTGTGGCTTGGTCCATAACCAGACCTCGCAAGTCTGGCAAATTGTTATCCTGGATCTCATCTTCGAAGTATAAATCTGCCATAATTCTCAATTTCAAAGATCATGTTAAAAAACATTTCAGAGCTATACACCAAGAGTAATCAGGTCACAGTAAGTCCTCTTAATAAAGTCATGTGTGTAAAATTATAATTAGCGAGAAACTTACCAAGGGCTGCCACCCCAGGACATGATTAGCACGTGTGATGTCTGGCTTCCGTCTCTGAGGGTCATCTTCTACGGCATCTTTGTGGACAATAGGACTCTTGCCACCCACCATTTTGTGAATTATCCTTGCAAATTCTGCAAATACAAGAAATTCAGATTTATGCTTTACACTTATTATTTGACTTAACATTTCTAGCAAACACAAACACAATAATATTAAACTTTAACCTGCCTTTGTTTTTCATCTTATTGCCTGTAATGAATGGGACCCACCTTTTTCTCCTCACTAAAGGCAAAGTACTTTTGGAAAAGACATAATTATTGATGCAGATAGATTTATCATTTGCCATCTTGTTGGCAAATTTTAGCGACACTTCGCTGGCTTGGCCTAGTAACCCCTTCTGTATAAATTACTACATTGAAAAAGAGAAACTTTTGTTTTTCTTTTTGGGCCACCCTGCCTTGGTGGGATACGGCCGGTTTGTTGAAAAAAAAAAAAAAACTTAGCTGGCTTCTTAATAGCTAATGTGCAATGACTGGCCTACTACTCAGTGACAGTAATCACATTAGCCAATTGCAAGAATGCATTCAAACCTAACAACATGGCTCATGAAATTGTAATAACAATTGCCAACAAATCACGAAATGGGTGGGCCTTGGATAGGATGCGTTAACCCAGGTGCTAACACACCACCATGTAAGTTTTAGAAATGTGCTTGGCAGGGGTTCAAGCCCCACTCGTTCCCCGGTTTAATAATGTGGTCTTGTTTCATTTGCGTGACTCCAAGGTTCACAAATTTCTATCCTGTTATCAATGAACATGTGGTGTGCATTAACAAGGTGATTGTGTGACATACCATGAATTCTGAAGAACTTATTATACCTATATTTTTCTGCATTTAAAAAAAAAGTTGTAGGATTGAAGCCATTGTTAAATATATGCTGGTACAAACAGCATGGAAGACAACAGATCATAATCTTGACTTGGGATAATTTAAAGGTTAGTATATCCATTTACAGTGGACCCCCACCTTACAATACTAATTCATTCCAGAAGTCTGTTCGGGTGCTATTACCGAACGAATTTGTTCCCATAAGGAATATTGTAAATTAGATTAGTCCATTTCAGACCCCCAAAAATACATGTACAAAAGCACTTACAAAAATACACTTACATAACTGTTCAAGTTGGGAGCTGATCGTAAGGCGGGGGTCCACTGTATGTGAATAAGACATGACATGAAGTCTGTGGAAATTACTGAGAAGACGTTTCATTTCCCAGGGACTTTCATCAAGGACAAGTCCTTGGGGGGGGGAGATGAAACAATATTTCAATAAATGCTATAAACTACGTAGTGTTTTGTCTGCAAACCAGTTTGGGATATTTGCTGTTTAAAGGGACATCTAAACTGTCGTATCTGCGTGCTTCTCGTAAGACAGTGATAGTGCGAACGATGGTGAAAGCGTTTCTTTTTCGGGTCACCCTGCCTCAGTCAAGGTGTTAAAAAATATGTATGTATTCACAACACAGCAAAAGATAACAGGACCTTGGCAGAATAAATGTAATGTTGTCGAGCAAAATAAAACAAGATGGAAAGAAGCAGTACTGTGAGGTAGCGAGTGTCTCGTGATCAGTGGATGAATGGTTGTAGCTCAACCTCTCCTTCCACTGAATGACCCACAAGAATTTGGTGTTTCATATTCATACCATACATTAGCAAGATTTTCCATGAGGAAGTGAAAAAGAATCCTGTCTCCGTAAGCCTCGTGTATTGTACGAGGCGACTAAAATGCCAGAAGCAAGGGGCTAGTAACCCCTTCTCCTGTATAAATTACTAAACGTAAAAAAAAGAAGAAAAACATTCATTTCTTCTTTTCCTGGTCACCCTGCCTTGGTGCGAGATGGCTGTGTTTACAAAAGAGGCGGGGATTAAGACGATAAGTTAATTGCAATATTTAACAAAGAAAGCTTACCTTCGATAGTATGTTCCTCGGGATTGCCAAGGTTAACTGGCAAAGAATAGTTTGAGTTCTGGAGTTTAATAAGACCATCTACCAAGTCACTAACATATTGGAATGACCGTGTTTGCTTCCCAGAGCCATAAACCTGTCAAAAAAGTCATACTCATGTTATATTTAATCTTCAAGTACCTAAAAAACAAAAATATTTCTTAAGAGCAGGAGGAAAATCTTTGTATTAATGAAATACTGTATGTATGAATCCCATCCTACTTGAACCATGTATTCCTTGGTCTAAATTAACAACAGTGTAATTACATTTATGTGTATGAACTATAAAATTCTGTAGCCTATAAAATGCCATACAAACATGAATTTACTAAAACATAGTAATTCTGCTAGAGTATTTTCCTTTCCATAATGTGATGGATATGCTGAAGCATAGGAGAACATGCTAGCTATACTGTACTAATACACTGTATGACCCTGTATGAGTCATACACAACTTAGGCAATGGGACACAATATGATTCAGTAAGAAGGGGAGGACAGATCCATTTTTCTGGATCAAGAACCCTTCACCAGCGTCAAGGTACCTCCTGGGAAAAGTATTAAATGCACATGAAAACTGCATTTTATAGTTTCAGTCACAAATCCACATAAGCTGGTATTATTGCACTCATGGGAGGAGAGTTAGACCTGTAAGAGGAATCTGCGACTAACCCTTCATCTATACGTCAATCACATATTCTACTGTATTTGTATTATTCTAAGCAACAAGCTGTGCTCTTCATATTCAATAAGACACTGAAAAATTAAGACATTTTATCACATCTTACTGATAACAGTTAATCAGAAACTCTCAGTACTTTAACCATTTAGTTTTAAGAATACAATAATTAACTTCAGTCTTTAATAATATAATAATTAACTTCAGTCATATACTCATGATATTTACTCATTCTACTGATGTTACAGACATAACATTAGAATAATGAAAATGACAGTCCATGTGTAACTTACAGTTATAGCTTGTCCGGTAAGAGCCTGAAGGATGAAGTTTGACACGACTCTCCCATCATTCATGTGCATACGTGGACCATAGGTGTTAAATATACGCGCAACTCTCACTTCGACGTTTTCCTGCCTGTGGTATGAATAAGCTAACGTCTCTGAGACCCTCTTGGCTTCATCGTAACAAGCACGAGGACCTGAACATCATTAGTTTATTAAATGTAATGGTAGGAGAAATCCATAATGCATAAAATTCACACAAAAAATTCTGTCTCAAATATAATGTAAGAATTCTTCCTCCTTAACCCATGTGTGTCTTAAAAAAGGCGACTAAAATGCCGGGAGCAAGGGGCTAGTAACACCTTTTCCTGTATAAATTACTAAATATAAAAAAAAAAGTTCAATGAAAAAGAATAATGTACTGTACTAAGTTCTTTAGAAAATTACTAAACAAATATTTACCTTCAAGCTTCTTATTATACTACTTTTTTCCTCCCCATAATAACTCCACCTATGTTGGCAGGAAATCTCTGAAGCTCCCATAGCTGATGAACCCTTGCTGGAATGCTTGATGACATCCTCAATACCCTACTGAAGTCTCCCAGTTCAGGTTGACACACTGCAACACCCTGTATAAGCCCCATCCTGTGTGATGGAATATGATGGGGAAACATAGCTAGCTTTTGTCCCCACTGTATAATTATCATATAGAATAAGATAGTAGCACACTGCTGATATATCCAGTTTTGTTAAAAACATTACAAAACAAGATATTTATTTAAGAGTTTTAAATGTTCATGTATCCACAGCAAATATATATCTTTGAAGAAAGGTAAAAAAAAATAATAATAATAAATGTATGATGCTTAACACAATGCAAATCATGCACAAAGAAAAAGAACATAATGAATGTATGACTCACGAAATCATAATGACACGATTGCAAACAAACCACAGTATGGGTGGGGATTGAACTCACGGCCAGCTGGCCTGGAGTTTTACCACTCGCTGCGAGTTCAATCCCCACCTGTACCATTGGTTTAAAATGAATGTATGATGATTAACATTCATAAAGAAATGGGAAAACATAAAAGGGCATTGCAGAAGGATAAAGATATTAAACACTTACCAATAGGAGACAAAAGCTCAGAAGATTACTTAGTCTGTATATTTTGATCCCTTTCTGGGGTCCTCTTCAGCAGAAGGGGATCAAAATATACAGATCAATTAATATACTGAGTTTCTGTCTCTATGTGGATTATTATTGAGCATCGACAAATGTTAAATACATTTTAATTATCAACTTACCAATAGGATTAACATGGCCCCAGTAAGATTCAGTCTGTGGATGAACCTCAGGGTCACCGTACACCTCTGAGGTACTGGCAATCAGTACACGAGCGCCCACACGCTTAGCGAGTCCTGTACACGATGGCATTATTTGTAACATTTAATATACCAGATAATTTAATTTGATTAAATAAGAAGCAATATGGAAATCACTCATAACAATAAGTTTAAAATTATTACTTTCAGACTGATAGAAAAGTGAATATTACATTTGCATAAGTGATACTGTTTTCTACACTTTCATTCTCATGTGAAATAGATTAATTAAAGAAAATATGTATTATTTAATCTCAATGTGCATTCCACACTTCCAGCAATTAACCCTTAAATGGTCCAAACGTATATATACGTTTTCTTGCGTAGCGCCCCAAACGTATATATACGTTTCATTTGTCATTCATTCAATATTGGCACGATAGGCCTGAGTCACCTAGACATGAGAGAATGGGTGTGAACACTCAGTGTGCGCCATATGAAAAAAATTGGGGATGCTTGGGTATCACATGCTCTTTTTTTCTTATAAAAAAAAAAAAATTTTCCCCTCAAAGTACTCGGGGCGCTGCGCAGGTGAACGCATATACAGTGGACCCCCACATAACGATTACCTCCAAATGCGACCAATTATGTAAGTGTATTTATGTAAGTGCGTTTGTACGTGTATGTTTGGGGGTCTGAAATGGACTAATCTACTTCACAATATTCGTTATGGGAATAAATTTGGTCAGTACTGGCACCTGAACATACTTATTGAGTGAAAAAATATCGTTAACCGGGGGTCCACTGTATATGTTTGGACCGTTTAAGGGTTAAAAAAAATTCATTATTAAAAAAATATTATATCCTAATTCAAAAGAATATCACAATCTAGTCAACATATAGCTTTATGCTGCCATTCACTCTTTACTTTATTTCTCTATGGAAATCAACTGTAGAAAACATTTTTCAATTTAATATATCACAAGACTAATCCCACACAATATATAATTAAGTACAAAAATACTGTACCCTGAAGAGGAACATAACACCCTCCGCACGCCTGCATTTTTATAACTGAAAAAATCACTCATACCAAAATAGTAATACTCCACACAATAATTTTTAAGCACAAAAATATTTTGCAACAGAGACAACCTCACATAGCATCTGTAGGTCCAAGTTTGTAGAATACTCTTTTTATTCTATACAATTTTCACTATACATGTACTGTATTCATCAAAGTGTGAAATCGTTATACATTATTTTTAACACACTGGCCATCTCCCACCGAGGCAGGATGACCCGAAAAAGAAACACTTACACCATCATTCACACTATCACTGTTTTGCCAGAGGTACACAGATATGACAGTTCAAATGACCCTCCATGAATTCATTCACTTTCCATCAAGATTCAGCAAGTTAAAAGATAACAAAAATTTATTTAACAAGAGCTCAATTTTCACACAATCTACTCACTTTTAAACAACTGCTTAGGATTAACTATCTAAAAAATATAAATACGTAAACAGTGATAAACAAATTGGTATCACATTACCTAAAATATTAATTGTTCCAACAGTGTTTGTCTTGATGGTCTTTACAGGATTGTACATGTAGTGTGGGGGTGATGCTGGACTAGCTAAGTGGTACACCTGTTAAATAAAAAAAAAAACTTATAGAATGTGCTTTATTATGTACAGCCACTCCTTGCTTAACAACAGAGTTCTGTTCCTACGAGTAGGTCATTAAGCGAATTGGTCGATAAGTGAGGAGCCGCATCTTACCGATATTTCAAGGATACTGTACCGATCAACCATCTTTAGATATTGTTTTAATGTCACCTTTGTAATATTTATAGCAGTTTTAGTATATTTTTAAATGTTTATACAGTAGTGTACTGTATACTGTAATAAACAAAATAGAGGAAATCAGCTCTAATATACAATACCGACTGGTCAGAGGAAGTCTTAAGTCCAAGCGGTTGTTAAACAGGTAGGTCATTAAGTGAAGAGAGCCTGTCCTGAGTCGCAAAAACATGATTGCAAACAAATGATGGAATGGGTTGTGGAGTGTGACCCCATGACAAGTGAATCGTGAAACTCACAGTCCAGTGTGACAGAGCTCCCTTGCCGTGGGTACAAACTCTTCCCTGTTCAGTGATTTAAGTATCAAGGACTGAAACCTTTTGCAGCTTATTCACTTGGCAATGTATGTCAGCCAGTTAAAGAAATATATGCTGCAGTATCCTGCATAACAAATATTATATTGATTTTGAAGATGATCTGACTAATACAGTATACTATAAAAGAAACAAACTAAAATAGCATAGACTAAACATGACAATGTACCACTAACACAATTTAGAGAATAGACCTTCCTGGATTTCCTACTATATTTCTGCCATATTGCAAGCTCCTGATGTGTTGATTGTAACACAAAAGGTCTAGAGCTATCATTCAGTCCCTTCCTTGCACTGCTGTTTTGCATAAAAAGACATATAAAATCAAAATCAAGTTATTCCATACCTGATCCACTTCTATATACAGAGGGTTAACAATATCATGGTGGATGAGTTCAAAGTTCTCATGACCGATCCAGTGTTCCACATTCCTCTTCCGCCCAGTGAAAAAGTTGTCAACCACAATGACTTCTTGCCCTTCCATCATCAATCTGTCAACCAGGTGTGAGCCAACGAAGCCGGCACCGCCTGTTACCTGTCGAGATGGAACACCACTGAGCAGGTCTGCCTACTCAAGAGAATGACTCACGAAAATGTTAATAACACGAATGCAAACTAACCATGAAACGGGTGGGGTTTGAACCCATGGTGAGTGAGTTGCAACCCATGTCGTAGCCAGCTGGCCCAGTGGCTTACACAATGACCTGGAGTTTTACAGCTCACTTGCCATGGGTTGTGAAGGCTTACTCAGCCCTGTAACAACTTCAGACAATATTACCAAGGCTGGCTCCTCCTCAGGAAAATTAATGAATAGAAAAAGAAATAATAATTCACAAAGATAAACACTTCATTATTTAGTATTGCAAAGATAAAACATTGAAAAAATGAATGTGCATCCTATTTGACAGAAAAATGAAAAATGAAATAAAAATATGACATTTGAATTCAGCGCTAATATATACAGTTATACCGGGGTGTCTGGTGGAGGTTGACACCGTCTCGTAGAAATTGTAGCCATTACTGATGATGTGGGGGGGGAGGGGTCACAGGTGTTGGTGACAACCCAACGACTAGTTCTTCACAGAGTCTATAGCCTTGAATAGTCAGTCCAGATGACAGGAACGCAGGTTCTTTACCACTACAAAGATGAGGGGTAGTGTCCTGTACAATTAATCAGGTAGGTAGATTATAAGGTGACGTCCCAAGACCGTTTTCAGTCCGTCTCCTTCAACACTTCTCGTTGGTTCACAGGTGACCCGATCTGTCATTCCAAGCTGGAAAGAGAGACAGGTTACCCACTGCTTAAGAAATCACTCTCCATGATAAGTGTAAGATACTTAAAAAAGGTGGTGATAATCAAAAAGTCTCATGTGGAGCTTAAAACTGAAAGGACAAAGTTTATTATTGGTCAAAAGTGAAGCTTTCAACCAATATCCACTAGAATAGGAGCAGAGGCTTTAACTTACAGTTGTGCTGGGAGCTGCGAGTCGAGTGATTACTGTTTGGCCGGAGCCCTGCACGTCACCTTTCGGGGTGGGGAGAAAGGGGGGGAGGGGATAGCGGGAGCTAGACTGACAACCCTACCTTAACAAGCAGCTGGCAATCAAACTATCATTACCGTATACTCACTCGCTACTCCTATCTGTTGAACTTTTCCCTCACATGGGTTCAAAACACACCCGTTCCATGCTTATTTTTTTTTTTACACAACATCTTGCTCCTGGGGGATTTCAGCTTAAGGCACCTAAAATGGAGGAATATAGCAAATAATATTGTTGCAGTAATAACACCAGGAGGCAGCTCTGATGAAAACTCACACTCACACGAGCTTTTAAATCTCTGCACAAAATTCAATTTAAATCAGCAAATAATAGAGCCTACTAGACTGGAGAATACACTAGACCTCATCTTCACTAACAATGATGATCTGATAAGAAATGTCACCATATCAAAAACAATATACTCAGATCACAACATAATTGAGGTTCAGACATGTATGCGTGGAGCCCCAGACCGACAAAATGAGACTAGTCACGAGGGAGCATTCACCAAATTCAACTTCAATAACAAAAACAAAGTGGGACCAAGTAAACCAAGTCCTAACCGATATAAGCTGGGAAGATATACTAAGCAACATAGACCCCAACTTATGCCTAGAACAGATTAACTTGGTGGCACTCGATGTATGCACAAGGCTTATTCCTCTAAGAAAAAGGAGGAGTAGATGTAAAATAGAAAGAGACAGGCGCTCCCTTTACAGGCGACGGAAAAGAATAACAGAGCGGCTAAAAGAGGTCAATATATCTGAAATGCGTAGGGAGACACTGGTCAGAGAAATAGCAAGCATCGAACTTAAGCTAAAGGAATCTTATAGGAGTCAGGAATCGCGGGAAGAGCTAAAAGCCATAAATGAAATCGAAAGAAACCCAAAGTATTTCTTCTCCTATGCCAAATCAAAGTCGAGAACAACATCCAGTATTGGGCCCCTACTTAAACAAGATGGGTCCTACACAGATGACAGCAAGGAAATGAGTGAGCTACTCAAGTCCCAATATGACTCAGTTTTTAGCAAGCCGCTAACCAGACTGAGAGTCGAAGATCAAAATGAATTTTTTGAGAGAGCCACAAAATTTGGTTAACACAAGCCTATCCGATGTTATCCTGACGCCAAATGACTTCGAACAGGCGATAAATGACATGCCCATGCACTCTGCCCCAGGGCCAGACTCATGGAACTCCGTGTTCATCAAGAACTGCAAGAAGCCCCTATCACGAGCCTTTTCCATCCTATGGAGAGGGAGCATGGACACGGGGGTCATCCCACAGTTACTAAAAACAACAGACATAGCCCCACTCCACAAAGGGGGCAGTAAAGCAACAGCAAAGAACTACAGACCGATAGCACTAACATCCCATATCATAAAAATCTTTGAAAGGGTCCTAAGAAGCAAGATCACCACCCATCTAGAAACCCATCAGTTACACAACCCAGGGCAACATGGGTTTAGAACAGGTCGCTCCTGTCTGTCTCAACTATTGGATCACTACGACAAGGTCCTAAATGCACTAGAAGACAAAAAGAATGCAGATGTAATATATACAGACTTTGCAAAAGCCTTCGACAAGTGTGACCATGGCGTAATAGCGCACAAAATGCGTGCTAAAGGAATAACAGGAAAAGTCGGTCGATGGATCTATAATTTCCTCACTAACAGAACACAGAGAGTAGTCGTCAACATAGTAAAGTCCAAGGCAGCTACGGTGAAAAGCTCTGTTCCACAAGGCACAGTACGTACTCGCTCCCATCTTGTTCCTCATCCTCATATCCGACATAGACAAGGATGTCAGCCACAGCACCGTGTCTTACTTTGCAATGACTCCTGAATCTGCATGACAGTGTCTTCCATTGCAGACACTGCAAGGCTCCAGGCAGACATCAACCGAATCCTTCAGTGGGCTGCAGAAAACAATATGAAGTTCAACGATGAGAAATTTCAATTACTCAGATATGGTAAACACGAGGAAATTAAATCTTCATCAGAGTACAAAACAAATTCTGGCCACAAAATAGAGCGAAACACCAACGTCAAAGACCTGGGAGTGATCATGTCGGAGGATCTCGCCTTCAAGGACCATAACATTGTATCAATCGCATCTGCTAGAAAAGTGACAGGATGGATAATGAGAACCTTCAAAACTAGGGAGGCCAAGCCCATGATGACACTCTTCAGGTCACTTGTTCTATCTAGGCTGGAATATTGCTGCACACTAACAGCACCTTTCAAGGCAGGTGAAATTGCTGACCTAGAAAATGTACAGAGAACCTTCACGGCGCGCATAACGGAGATAAAACACCTCAATTACTGGGAGCGCTTTGTGATGTAGTTCAGCTGGGCTTGTGAGGTCTCTGGGGAGACCTAATTTAACCAATTATATGGTCACACCTTGCCTTGGCAGACGTCTGTAGCCACGCCCACGTCTGAGGTCTTTTGTTCTTGATGGCGTCAGACCTAGGCGTCAGGTCGTACACGTGGTTGTGGAGGGTGCTTGGACCACCATAAAAGCCCAAGGAAGAGCATGATCAGGAGATTCGAGCGGAGCTGCTGCTGGGGTGCGGAGCTCCTGAGCAGAGACTTCGAGCGGAGCTGCTGCTGGGGTGCAGGGCTCGGGAGAAGGCTGCTGAAGTCTCTGGAGGAGACTGTTGGAGACATTGGGCACAGTACTGGCTTGGAGCAGTACTCGTGCTGCGTAGGTCTTGGGACCTGTGGCTTAGTTCCTGTAGTGAACTGTCCTCTGTGCTATATTGTAAGTTATATTCATTTTCGTCAAGTTGATTGTGTTCCCTGTCTCACTGCTTATGTGTACCACCCCATTTATCTAAACCCCAATGATGTACTCCTGTTCCCAAATATATTATTGTACAAGGACTTAATAATAAACTGTGTTTGAGTAGAATAGTAATATTCACTGTCCCCGTTATTTACTCATTTCTCCATTTATTTATGTTTAGCTAAAGTAGTGAGAGGGTGAGTAGTGTGGAGTGGAGTGTAGAGTAATGAGAGGTGAAGATGTAGTCACCAGTGACCTCACATTACCTACCTACCTCCGCACTCATCCCTCCTACTGCCTCGCCTATCCCCTACCTACTGACATAATCCCCTACTCCCATATTCCCCACTTATATCCCTTACGTTCCAATACCCCCCTGCATGACAGCTTGAGGTTCCTAAAACTGTATTCCCTGGAATGCAGGCGGGAGAGATACATGATTATATACACCTGGAAAATCCTAGAGGGACTAGTACCGAACTTGCACACGAAAATCACTCACTACGAAAGCAAAAGACTTGGCAGACGATGCAACATCCCCCCAATGAAAAGCAGAGGTGTCACTAGCACGTTAAGAGACCATACAATAAGTGTCAGGGGCCTGAGACTGTTCAACTGCCTCCCAGCATACATAAGGGGGATTACCAACAGACCCCTGGCAGTCTTCAAGCTGGCACTGGACAAGCACCTAAAGTCGGTTCCTGACCAGCCGGGCTGTGGCTCGTACGTTGGTTTGCATGCAGCCAGCAGCAACAGCCTGGTTGATCAGGCTCTGATCCACCAGGAGGCCTGGTCACAGACCGGGCCGCGGGGGCGTTGACCCCCGGAACTCTCTCCAGGTAAACTCCGGAGGAATAATGGCAGAAACTTAATTTTGAATTATCAATACTTCACTAATGTTCACATTTACATAGGCTTATCAAAATTATTTCACATTATTGAGAAAATATAGTAATTCATGCCAATACATTGTATATTATCAGTTTACTAAAACTGATAATATACAATGATAATATACAATATTTACTAAAAAACGCATGAAAAGTAATGCACATACATTCGTACAAGTACAGGTTACACATGAAAAATAAATGTCATCTTCCAAATGCCATTACGAATGCTGAAAAATCAATATACTGAATGCCTTAAAGGTTTTAAATAAATCAGTATCTGCTGGCAAGTTCTGATAGTTAGGAAAGCTACTTAGAGAGTTGTGTAATTAGCAAAGAGAGGGGTCAATCCTGCCCAGCATACAGTTCCAATACACAGCGTAACGTTGATAGCTACTGGCATCTACAAGACTGTAACTTGATCTCGGACATCAGTACACCTACCATCCAACTTACGACAGAGTTCGGTTCCGAGAAACCGGCCGTAAGTCGAACTTTACTATTGAATATCAACAAAACATTTTTGTAATGACTATTTTATTGGTTTATTTTGGTATTTCATGTTTTACTTTACTGTAAGGTTTAGGATAAAAACTGTGTACAACACAAATATTATTATTATTTTTTTTTATTATCACACTGGCCGATTCCCACCAAGGCAGGGTGGCCCGAAAAAGAAAAACTTTCACCATCATTCACTCCATCACTGTCTTGCCAGAAGGGTGCTTTACACTACAGTTTTTAAACTGCAACATTAACACCCCTCCTTCAGAGTGCAGGCACTGTACTTCCCATCTCCAGGACTCAAGTCCAGCCTGCCGGTTTCCCTGAATCCCTTCATAAATGTTACTTTGCTCACACTCCAACAGCACGTCAAGTATTAAAAACCATTTGTCTCCATTCACTCCTATCAAACACGCTCACGCATGCCTGCTGGAAGTCCAAGCCCCTCGCACACAAAACCTCCTTTACCCCCTCCCTCCAACCTTTCCTAGGCCGACCCCTACCCCGCCTTCCTTCCACTACAGACTGATACACTCTTGAAGTCATTCTGTTTCGCTCCATTCTCTCTACATGTCCGAACCACCTCAACAACCCTTCCTCAGCCCTCTGGACAACAGTTTTGGTAATCCCGCACCTCCTCCTAACTTCCAAACTACGAATTCTCTGCATTATATTCACACCACACATTGCCCTCAGACATGACATCTCCACTGCCTCCAGCCTTCTCCTCGCTGCAACATTCATCACCCACGCTTCACACCCATATAAGAGCGTTGTTTATTTCCCAGAAATCTGGCATAAAAAACAAGGTCGTAAGTCGAGTGGTCGTAAGTAGAGTGGTCGTAAGTAGAGTGGTCGTAAGTCGAGTGGTCGTAAGTAGTGGTCGTAAGTAGAGTGGTCGTAAGTCGAGCAGGTCGTAAGTCGGATGGTAGGTGTAATTATTATGCTTGCATTGTAATTGCTGGTGTTTATCATTTGTATTGTATTTCATAAAAAAACAGTACAGTAAGAGTATGTATTAAGAGAATGTTCAGTTAAGAGGATGAACTGTAAAGAGTGAAAATGCACAATACTGTGACTGGAACAATACACGAATAACCTGCACGTGATGGATCAGAGCCTAATCACCCAGGTTGCTTTTGCTGGCCACACGTAAACTGACGTACGAGCCACAGCCCAGCTGGTCAGGTACTGACTTTAGGTGCCTGCCCAGCTCCTTGAAGACAGCCAGGGGTACACTGGTAATCTCCCTTATGTATGCTGGGAGGCAACTGAACAGTCTTGGACCCCTGATACTATGTGCAGGTTATTTGTGTACGGATCAGTCATGTTAATTATCTCTAATAAAAATGATTTTACCGTTACAAGTGATAGTGTTCTTTTAACCCATAAACGGTCCAAGCAGATCCACGTTCACATGTGTAGCGCTCCAAAAGTGGATCTACTTTTTTTACATATTTTCAAATACAGTGGACCCCCGGTTAATGATATTTTTTCATTCGAGAAGTATGTTCAGGTGCCAGCACTGACCGAATTTGCTCACATAAGGAATATTGTGAAGTAGATTAGTCCATTTCAGACCCCCAAACATGCACGTACAAACGCACTTACATAAATACACTTACATAATTGGTCACATTCGGAGGTGATCGTTAAGCGGGGGTCCACTGTATAACAAAAAAAAAAAAAAAAAAAAGTAAATCAAAGTTCTTTTTACACGTTTTCAAATGTAAAAAAAAAAAAAAAAAAAAAAGATATACTTTTTTTACATACTTTCAAATGTTGAAAAAACGTATATATACGTTTGGACTGTTTACGGGTTAAACCACAAAAATATAAAGTTCAACTTTTCCTTTAATAGAAGAGAGTACATAACTTACCAAAATCCTTTTCCGGTCTTTGAAAGTCAAAAATTTAACCTCTGGATACTTTTTGGGGATCCGATATTCTATATCTTTCAGTCGTTTCTCCAGCTCTTGAATTTTTAGAAGGGCCTCATCCAAAGTATTAATATTATTGATGTTTATCGGCTCCACAGAGGATGGAGATGAGGAAATTAGTCTCTCATTTCCATTTTCTGAGTAATGCTGAGCGGTATCACTGACGAATGCTAGCTCTACATCACTAGGTTTCTTTGAAGACACTAGAAGGGACCAATTAAAAATTGCTGAAAAAAGAAAAAATCTAATAAAAGTTAAAATTTCAACACTATATAGTTGGGGCTTCATTTGATAGCAACTACCAACAATTCATAGTCATTTACCTACTAAATAATAGTTAACAAATTGAGCTATTATAAATGTCTATGGTGGTCTAACGACATGCTTGTGACGTTTACATTACAGTGGTACCTCGAGTTTCAAACAGCTCCCAACTCAAACAATTATGTAAGTGTATTTTTGTAAGTGCTTGTGTAAGTGTATTTTTGTAAGTGCTTGTGTAAGTGTATTTTTGTAAGTGCTTGTGTAAGTGTATTTTTGGGGGTTTGAAATGGACTAACCTAAGTTAAATTATTCCTTATGTGAATAAATTTGTACCATTATATATATCATTGTTATATATACCATTGATATATATCAAGGTACCATTATATATATCATTGTAGCCTACTTTAAATATTAAAAGAATCTGGATATTCCTATTATTTCATGATGCTTAAATGCATTAATTTTTTTCAAATAGTTCTTCCTGAAGCATGTTACAGCCTGCTGAATGTTTAATACTTCTACTTCCCAAAACCTTTCAAAACCTTCTTTCAATCCCTTAAAGCTCTCTCTACAACTTCTTTCCATCCACCACAGAATTATCTACTATCTTGACCATTTATTTTACTCCAACCTTTCTAAATGACAGTACCCTCTGAACAACCCCCTTCTCTGTTTCCTAAATTAAATACTTCAAACCACCAAGGACCCCAATGGAAACCAAGTCACTTTGACTTCTTTTTTTGGGGGGTTATCCTAGATAATTACACATATGTTACTAGGTAAGATACAGTGGACCCCCGGTTTACGATATTATTTCATTCCAGAAGTATGTTCAGATGCCAGTACTGAACGAATTTGTTCCCATAAGGAATATTGTGAATTAGATTAGTCCATTTCAGACCCCCAAACATACACGTACAAACGCACTTACATAAATACGCTTACATAATTGGTTGCATTGAGAGGTGATCGTAAAGCGGGGGTCCACTGTAATTGTATTTATGGAGACCTGTACCTAAATAAATTAACTGACTAGCTTACCATTTCAAGTCTCCTCACCCCTTATTCTCTACATATCATTCACACCACTCACTGATCTCAAATATAACCATTTCCATTGCTTCCGACATTCAAAGACCACACTTTACGCCCCTACAAAGGCAGTGACACCACTGTACTTGGATACGTTCTCCCTTTCTACATGCGTTGGCAATTTTTTTCTTTCCACAGACATCACAACACTCCTTGTGCAACTACTCGACCTCCAACTGAGGTCAAGGAAAAAATTTAATAAATACTGTGATTTACCAGATATATAATGTACAATGAAGAATAAAATAAAAATACTGAAATGAATAAATCACAAAAAATTCACACTAAAAGTGTATTTGCATACTAGTTTAGATTCAGACTCTTCAGCATGATACAAAGTTTGCACAGTGATGGGTGTCATTTGGGTATACATGCAGAAAGCCCCTTAGTATGCAGAGCATTTTGGGCAAAATTAAGCCTATCTTAAGATTAATAAGGCAATAACTAATTAATTGCTTATATATACAGCTTTCTTTTGTGCCTAACAATATTTAATTACATGTAAACTACGATGTCTCTGTAAAGAAATAAAAATTTGAATTTGAATCGGAATTTAAATTTGAAAGTCCCTTGTTATGCAGAATGTGTTAATAAAATAAAATAAAATAATGTGTTAATAAAAAAATTAAATAAAATACTGCAGCTGGGCCTACATTTAAATTTTTTTACAAAATAAAAGGTTTATACTATTTATGTACACTGCAGTGTATCTAATGTTGCTATTAAAAATATCTATGATTTCTATAAGACACAGTATCTAGGCCTATATAATTTTTCTATGATTTGTATTAGAGTAACTGGCTACATTTATTTAACCTCATATTCTTGAAATTTTGAAGACTAAGTTAACTAGGAACTTGAAAAGTGAACACAAGTTTGGTAACTAGGCTATCTATGAGATAATGATAGACTGCAAACTTATAACCATGCATTTGGGAAGATAATTTTTATCCCTGAATGATTAATGATTTGTGATCAGAAATCTCTACTATCTGTACATTATTAGGTTTATATGTAGCTTATGTTTCTCTGAGGATTATGTACAATAGTATTTCTGGCTCACAACAGAGAGAACTGGGTTCAATCCTGGAGGGAGGGAGTGAGACATACACCTACTGCTCCTGTTTGCTTAGCAGTAAGTTTATTTAGGTAAAGGTCCACACAAGTACAATTATCATACTTGTTCTTTTAACAAACTGGCCGTATCCCACCGAGGCAGGGTGGCCCTAAAAGAAAAACAAAAGTTTCTCTTTTAAACTTTAGTAATGTATACAGAAGGGGTTACTAGCCTCTTGCTCCCAGCATTTTATCATATATAGTAACATATGTAAATTACCTAGGAAAACCCCAAAAAAGTCAAGGTTACTTATTTCCATTGGGGTAATGTACCTGGGTGTTAGCCAACAATTGTGGGTCACACAAGATTTTGTTCAGATTTTTAACATGGAGGATTAGCCACCCAGGGCAACTCAATAAAGCCAGTACATCATCAAAGATTGTGTATCTTATTTTCAATTGGGGTCCTATAATTTTGTCCTCCAGAATGCAACCCACACCAGTTGACTAATACCCAGGTACCTACTTACTGCTAGGTGAACAGGGGCAGCAGGTATAAGAAAACATGCCCAATGTTTCCATCCATGCTGTGGATTGAACCATGGTCCCTTCCTAAGGACAAAACCATAGAAAGATACCCAAGACCCTAAAGAGTAAGCCATACTACTTGGTTGCCTTGGGTTATCCTGGGTTACCAGTCCTTTGAGATTACAAGTCTTCTTCATACTCAAGTCTAAATAAGATATAAAACAAGAAGCACCTCCAGTAGAGAAAACCACTCAGGAAATATCATTATCTTTATTATTATTATTATTATTATTCTTTCTTCTTTCAACAAACTGGCTGTATCCCACCAAGGCAGGGTGGCCTAAAAAGAAACACGAAAGTTTCTCTTTTTAATTTAGTAATCTATACATGAGAAGGGATTACTAGCCCCTTGCTCCCGGCATTGTTGCCGCCTCTTACAACATGCATGGCTTACGGAGGAAGAATTCTGTTCCACTTCTCCATGGAGATAAGAGGAAATAAACAAGAATAAGAACTAGAAAGAAAATAGAAGAAAACCCAGAGGGGTGTGTATATATGTGCTTGTACATGTATGTGCAGTGTGACCTAAGTGTAAGTAGAAGTAGCAAGATGTACCTGAAATTACAGGCTTGTGTTTTACACTCCTGTGGTAGGATGATAGTACCTCCCTGGGTGGTTGCTGTCTACCAACCTACTACCTAGGATTATTATTATTATTATTATCATCATCATCATATTCTGGGAGGGGAATACCAAACCCATAAGTTATACAGTGCTGGGGATTGGGGGGAGTAAATAGGTTCACTCCAAGGAAGGAGAGGTCAGGTCCAATTCCTCAGATCAAGAGACCCCCCTCAATGACTGAGTGTTGAGCAAAACTGGCATATCACTGTATATATGTACATACAGATAAGGAGATGAAAGATAAGATTTCACTTGAATTTTTAGCCCCGGAGGGCTAGCCACCCAGGATAACCCAAGAAAGGTAGTGCATCATTGAGGGACTGCCTGTCTTGTTTCCATTATGGTCCTTCAATCGTGTCTCCCAGGATGAGACCCACACCAGTCGACTAACACCTATGTACCTACTTGCTTTCTAGGTGAATGGGACAATAGGTGTAAGGAAACATGCCCAATGTTTCCACCCTTGCTGGGAATCGAACCACAGACACTCAACGTGGGAAGCAAGAGCATTGCCTAACAGGCAATATATATACAGTGGACCCCCGGTTAACGATTTTAATCCGTGCAAGAGGGCTCATCGTTATGCGAAATAATCGTTATGCGAATGAATTTTCCCCATAAGAAATAATGGAAATAAAATTAATCCGTGCAAGACGCCCAAAAGTATGAAAAAAATTTTTTTTTACCACATGAAATGTTAATTTTAATACACACAAACTGAAAAAGGCATGCACAATTAAATGACACTTACTTTTATTGAAGATCTGGTGATGATTGATGGGATGGGAGGAGGGGAGAGCATTATCTTCTTACTGTTTAGAAGGGGAATCCCCTTCCATTAGGACTTGAGGTAGCAAGTCCTTTTCTGGGGTTACTTCCCTTCTTCTTTTAATGCCACTAGGACCAGCTTGAGAGTCACTGGACCTCTGTCGCACAACAAATCTGTCCATAGAGCTCTGTACCTCCCGTTCCTTCAAGACTTTCCTAAAATGGGCCATAACATTGTCATTGAAATAGTCACCAGCACGGCTTGCAACAGCTGTGTCAGGGTGATTTTCATCTATAAAGGTTTGCACTTCAACCCACTGTGCACACATTTCCTTAATCTTTGAAGTAGGCACAATGGATTCCACAACTGGCATAGGCTTCTCAGGGTTAGCCCCAAACCCTTCAAAATCTTTCTTAATTTCCATACTAATTCTCACCCTTTTTACCACAGGGTTGGCACTAGAAGCTTTCTTGGGGCCCATGGTCACTTATTTTTCCAGAAACAGCACCGAAAACACTGTAATAATACGAAATATTCCGAGTGTATGCTTGGATGTTACCGCGGAGGCTGGCTGGTAAACAATGGGACGGCCGGCACATGTGAGGGCACATTGGACGCGTCTCGGACGAAAATCGGTAAGCGGGTTTTTAATCGGTATGCGCGGCAAAAATTTTGCGATAAAAGTAATCGGTATGCGGAAAAATCGCTATGTGATGCCATCGTTATGCGGGGGTCCACTGTATATATATATATATATAAAAACAAATTTTTAAAAAATTAAGTCGAATTTTTAACTTGCACTGATCAAGTCCCATATATATATATATATATATATATACAGTGGACCCCCACTTAACGATCACCTCCCAATGCGACCAATTATGTAAGTGTA